GGCAGACATTTAGTCAACTGAACCACCCAGGTGCCCCTCTCCTGCTCTTTAATACCCTATCAAAACTCGAATAACTTTGGATCAGACTCGTATATTGTAGAGTGGCCTTTACATTCTGAGAAGCTGGGGACTATGGGAACTTCAAGTTACCTAATTTATCTTCTCATTAGATAGATGTGAGTTTCTATCTTGGGACTACTGGACCTTGTTCACTTGGTTAAGCGGTCAATGAGAAGCTAGGATGATTAGATGTCTAACTGATGAGATAGATCAGATGAAATTATTATTACTAATCCATAATAATCAGAAGTTCTTTCTCTGGTTTTAGAACACTTGCTATGTCAATTCCTACACAAGGCTGTATCCTGCAGTCAAATGCTCTACCCCTGAGCTATACCCCCACAAGGCTGTATCCTGAAAAGGAAACCGTCCTCTTTATATAACTGCTCAGTAAAAGAAGATGTTTTCCATAAGTGAGAAAAGGGTCTACTTAGGAAAAACAAAACAACATGAAATTCCCCTGATATAAAAGCTCATGTGAAAAGATAAATATTGTGTGATTTCACGGACATGAGGCACTGAGAACAGTCAAATCCTTAGAGACAGAAGGTGGAATTGGTGGTTACCAGGGGCTGGGGAGGGAGGACTGGGGGTTATCATTTGATGGGAACAGAATTTCAGTCTGAGGTGATTAAAAAGTTCTGGAGACGGACGGTGGTGACAGTCACACAACTTGAATGTACTGAATGTTGCTGAATTGTACACTTAAAAATGATAAAAACGGTACATTTTAAGTTGTATACTTTACCATAATTAAAACAGGAAAAAAAACCCTAGAAAAATCCCTTATAATGGCCTGCTCTGACCTGCTTCCTCTCCTCCTAAGTAAAAGTAGAAATACCCAGGATGAAATCCAAAAGCTCACAGCCCGAGTCAGGGCAGGCTTCGAAAGTGCCCAGGGCTAAAATGCCAGGTTTCCAACTGGCTCCTTGTTACCAGAATAGCCAAACTAAGTCATGTCAGAAATACTGGCCTGCCCAGCAGGGATACACATACAAGGAAAATGTTAGTAAGGTTTAGAAACCACTTAGGACCTTGCTGAAAGTCTTGTCCCTCTGAGTTAATAAAATTGCTCTCTGTCCCATCCTAAATCCAAGTGATAAAAGGGAATAAAGATGCTCATGGGGTACGGGGTCCTGCTGTGAAGTTAGCTGTACAATTTCAGACCCACGCTTTTCCACACTTCTTGGGACATCACATAATAGATATTGCAATTAGAATCTAAATGGAACGAGAAGATAGGATCCCAGTTCTTTTCACTTGGTTTGGGGGAATAAGGAAGCTGGAGACAGACCATTAATGTACAAGTCAGAAGAAGTATCAACTTCTTCTCTTCTTTTTGTCATTAAAATATATGATACAGTCACATTCACACAGAAGAGCTCCTGCACATCTGTGCCAAGACACAAAGAAAAAGTCTTCACAGTAATGCACTTTTCAAAACATGGGAACCATCCCAAATGCTCACCAGTAAGAGAATGGATAAATGACTTGTGGAATAGTTGCCAACAAGGGCTATGTAGCTACCTGCAGCAATACAGACAATTCTTAAAAGCCTAAGGTTGAGTTTTTTTAAAGTGAGAATATATACACCCCTTTCATAAGTCAAACACCAAGAAAACCTAAACAGCCCATTGTTTAGGAATATATACGTATGTCATAAAGCAGTTTTACAGTAAAACTAGGGATTGACTCACACAAAATTCAGGGATGGAGAGACCTGGGGAATGGCACAGGAGAGGACCGTGAAGACGCAACAGGACAGGTAACAATATAGTAGGTTTTTGTTTTGCCTACTTTCTGTTTATTCTCTTTAACAGCTTTACTGAGACGTAACACATAGGAGACAATTCACCCATTTGAAGTGTACAGTTCAATGATATGTGTAATCATCACCACAGTCAATCTTAGAACATTTTCATCAGCTCAAAGAAAAACCCTGTAGCCTGTAACTATCACCACCACTAATTTACTTCCTGTCTCCATAGATTGCCCTGTTCTGGACATTTTCATAGGAACAGAGTTAAACAAACTGTGGTCTATTGTGACTTGCTTCTTTCACTTAGAATATTTTTTTAAAGATTTATGTATTTATTTGACAGACAGAGATCACAAGTAGGCAGAGAGGCAGGCAGAGAGAGAGAGGAGGAAGCAGGCTCCCCACTGAGCATAGAGCCCAATGGGGGCTCGATCCCAGGACCCTGGGATCATGACCTGAGCCGAAGGCAGAGGCTTTAACCCACTGAGCCACCTAGGCGCCCCTCATTTCCTTCTATGGCTAACTACTAACCCACTCCATGGGTAGACCACATTGTATACATTCATTCATCAGTCGATGGACATTTTTAGCTTTTAGTTATTATGAATGGTGCTGGCATAAATATTTGTGCATAGGATTTTGTGCACATATAGACTTTCATTTCTCTTGGATGTATATACTGCGAAGTGAAATTGCTCTATCATATGGTAATTCAGCTTAACTTTCGAGGAACTGCCAAACTGTTTTCCAAAGCAGCTGCCATTTGACATTCCACCATCAATGAGTAAAAGAGTTCCAGTTCCTCCACATCCTCACCAATACTTACCAGCTGATTTTTTTATTCTAGCCATCCTAGTGGGTATGAAATGGTATCTCAGTGTGATTTTTACTTCTCTGATGAATAATAATGTTGAGCATCTTTTCCTTACTTACTGGCTATCTGTTTATCTTCTTTGGAGAAATGTCTATCCAGATCCTTTGACAATTTTTATATTGGTTATTTATCTTTTTATTACTGAGTTGTAAGAGCTCGTTACATATTTTGGATACAAGCCCTTTATCAAGTACATAACTCTAAAATATTTTCTCCTATTCTGTAGGTTATCTTTTCACAATTATCTAGTTCTTAAACCCTAGTTTCTAATGAGGTAATGGTGGCCATTCGAACACAATGGTTATAGCTTATATATGCTTAGCCTGTTATTTTTATGTATAAAATATTATGTAACTAATAAAAAACAGAACTTCACATACGAAGATGTCTGTTAGGAAATATTCAAGACAAAATGAAACACTCCAATACCCAAATCAGTTAATGCTACTTTTGAAGGTATGTAACAACTCTTGGGTATGACTCAGGCACTCAAATAATCTGGCCCATGAATCCCTTCAAAGGCTCTTCCTCGAACTATCACTAGGCAGGTGGAAGTAGCAAAGTCCTAACGACAGAACAAACCTGCCTCAATTTCCTCCTGTCTTTATGTCTCCCCTTCCTCTCTCAAGCTAAGAATTATTTTTACATGTTTAAATGCCTGAAAAAAAAAAAAGACCATTTCTTTCCTGGTGAAAATTATATGAACTTCAAATTTGTTGGCAAATTTTTTGAGCCAAGGCCTAGAGAGTAAATATGGAGGTTTTGCTGTCCATGTGATCTCTTCAGAAGCTACTCAACTCTACTGTTGAGCGAAAAAAGGCAGCTGTAGACAATACACAAAGGAATGGTGCAGCTGAACCTTATGGACTCTGAAATTTGAAGTTCATACAATTTTCACCACGTCAACAACAAGCACCAAAACCCTCTTTCCTATAAGTCAAGGCCACTTCGATGGTCACCCGCCTGACTTCTCAATGTCTTTTTCTCTTGAATAAATATGATACCTTGATTCTAATTCTGTTAAGGATTTTTACATGTGGGAATTCACGGAATAGTCTTTCTTTGCAAAATACACTTTATCTTCGAGAAGTCATGATTCTGCCACATTCAAGCTATTGAGTCAATTACTTTGAAAAACTTCGACTCCCTGCTCAGGACATGCTTGAGTCAAACACTGTTCTGGCCTGAAAGAAGTTCCAAAAACCCCACCCCTGCCCTCAAAAGGCTTATAGTCTAGTTAGACTTTAGTAACTGTAAGAACAATTTCCTTAATCTTACATTAAGTGAGCTCGGGTATTTTACCAAGAATTCTAAGGCACGTTCCTTAAATTAAAAGAAACCTACATACGCAGTAAAGAAATAGTACCTGCAAACAATTCTGGTAAACCACGGTGCCTGAGTCCCATAGGCTTCTGCACTGCCAAGACTCAACAGAACCAAAGGTTGTTGATGTTTCGCTACATGTTCAATCTCCGATGTGGCTGTTTGGACCCAATCCTAGCTCCATGTCCTAAATGCTGTCACCCATATCTACTCTACAGAATTCATCAGTTCAAATACAGCTAAAACTTGCAGCCTGTTTGTGATGCCCGACAGCACTCCGAGGAGAATAAAGGAAAGGCCATCTGCATATGCGATCATTAGCCCTGAAAGTGCTGTAGAAGGTAGACAGCCTTCTACCCAAAGCGGTCAGGGACCCAGCTGGGGAGAGGCCCTATTCCGGGGCTGTCCCCTCAATGCCTCAGTTGCCTTTGCATTTTTCAAAGTGACTCACTGCCTCCAGACAGGTTCTGCAGACAAGCCAGGTCCTTTTCTTTCCAGCACTTTCCAGTCGCGGTGCCGTGGTCGGGTCCAGCCCAGTCACAGTCTTCCCCTTCTCCCCCGACAACCCCCACCCCCCGCCGTGCGGCTCGCAGCCCGGGGGGCGAGGACCCCCAAAGTTCAGGCGGGCCTGGGGCGGCAGCGCGGGGCGAGTAGGCCCCGGCCGGCTCCCGCGCGCACCCCGCCTCCCCGCGCCCGCCCCGGGGCGCCCGCAGCGGGGACAGGGCGGGGGCAGGGCGCCGCGGCGCTGACCCAGATGGGGCGGCCGCCCCCGCCCCCGCCCCGCCCGCCTCCCCGCCCCGGGCCCCGGCCCCCCGGCCCCCAAGGCTCCCGCGCCGCCTCCCCGCCCGCGCGCCGCCGCCGCCGCGTCCCGGCCCCCTCCCCACCCCACCCCGGGGGCGCAACTTCCGAGCGGCCGGCCGCGGGGCGCCCCCCGCACCTGCCCCCGGCCCTCCCCGCCCGCGCCGGCCCGCAGCTCCCGGTTACCTGCCGGGTGTCCCGGGGTCCCGTCCCCGGCGCCGCAAATCCGAGTCCGGCCACTCGCGCCCTCCTCCCCCCGGAGTCGGAGCCGGTGTCAGTCACGCCGCTCCCGGGGAGAGTCGCCGGCGGCTTCCGGGAGCTCCAAATACAGGCGAGCGCGGGGGAGAGGGAGGGAGGGCAAAGCCCCGCGGGTGCGGGGTGGAAATAAAGGCGAGCCGGGAGGCGAGGGGCTGGAGGGAAGGAGGGGCAGATGGGCCGCGGGAGACGGGAGGGGGACGTGGGGACGACCGGGGAAGGGGGAGAGAGAGCCTGCCGGGCGCCCGGCTATGGAAGAAATGGATTCACCGCGTCAGGCAGCCTCGCGAAGAAGTCTGGAAAGATCCGGAGACTCCGGGCCGAAGAGCCGCAAACAGGCTGGCTCCTCCAAGACTTTGCGGAGAGAGGACGGGTACTTAGGACGCAAGAGACGGGCCTGTGTGCCCCCACACCCCAATACGTCAAAAAGGGTCCTGGCAGGAGCCGGAGGTGGACATCTGACGCACTAGCTAGCCATCAGGCTCAGATGCATTCAGGTCTTTTAAAAACATTTTCTAGCGTATTTTTTAAAATGCATCTAACGTACAGCATCTTTAAAAGAGAATAAATGCCCAATTATTTAAAAGCAAACCTATCCCAAAGCACTCTACTTTTATGTCTATTTGTGGCCATTTCCCCTTTATATATTGATTGATTATAAGTATAAAATTAGAGGCCTCTTTTTTGTTAACATGAGTAGAAGGAAAACACTGATTTTCAATTTTCATCATTTATTTCAATCTGAGAAAGTGGACTTGAAGCTCTTCATTGAATAAATGCCAGGAAAATAATTACAGAGGAGAGAAGTGGGGGATGGAAATTGATACTTCTTAAAGCAAAATTTTCAAACAAATAAGAGGATGAATGTCTAAAAAGCTAATATTTTCTGTCAGTGGTAAAATCACATTTAGTTTGGTTCTGAGCCTTACAAGGCTTATTCTGACCCGATAGTCACAACTTACATAAAGGTCATTGCTATTACACGTTGCTTTTAGTCTGCAGGGAGATGCCTCTTTGGTTCCCTTTGTCTGAAAAGAAGGGAAACAAAATGGCATAAACATTGATGTGTGATGGGGTGCCTGGGTGGCTCAGTGGGTTAAGCCTCTGCCTTCGGCTCAGGTCATGATCTCAGAGTCCTGGGATCGAGCCCCACATCGGGCTCTCTGCTCAGCAGGGAGCCTGCTTCCCCCTCTCTCTACCTGCCTCTCTGCCTACTTGTGATCTCTCTGTCAAATAAATAAATAAAATCTTTAGAAACAAAACAAAACATTGACATGTGAATGCGTACACTGTGTATATCCAAGAGCCAGTGCCCTCCCTATCATGCCTGTGCCTTGCATTTGGAAGGTAGCTGATACTGAGTAATGAATAAATGAACAAATGGTTGGACGAAGTATATATGTATTTAGAATATTTATGTCCCAAGAAACTATATATATATTACTATATAAAAAGTAATACATCCGTAAGAACCAGTTTATAAAGGTTTATAGGAAACATCCAAGGTTCCTGTCTGATATGATCTTTTCCCCCCTAACATTAACATCAAATAATACCAATAGACCATTTGCTTTAGCTGAGTATATTTTGCATTTGAGTGTAAAGTATTATGGAATATAAAGGTGAATAAGGCAAAAATCCTGCCCTTAGGTTCATGATATAGTAGTAAGAAGAGAGTACATACATAACCACAGTGTAAAGAAGACTGTAAAAAATGTCCCAAGAGAAATACGATGGAAGATCTGTGGTCCTGTGGAAAAGAGGGAGGTTGCTTCTAGTACTGGGATCAGAGATTTCATCCTGGTGGAACTGAAGTTGAACTTTCAAGCAGAAATTAAACAATACAAGTGGAGGGTCTGGGGAGGACACTCACATTGAAAGAAACTGCAGGGACAAAAGTGAAGAAGTGATAAAGGACAGGACAGGTCTGAAGGACATGCAGTGAACTCTGCTGGGATGGAGAGCTGCAGGACTCAGACAGAGGAGGGAAGACAGATTCTAGCTGGTGGAGGTCTTCAGTCATAACCTAAAATGATTGATCCCTATGGGGGCAGGCATCGGGGAACTATTCACAGATTTGGAGCTAAGCCTTGATAATGGTTAATTTGGTGTCATCTAGGATTGGAAAGAGATAAGAAGCAGGGAAATCCTCTAAGAAATTATTCACTAGTTTGAAAGGAAAAATAAATGAGTCTTAACCTGGTGCCTGAATTCTTCCTAGAACTAATTTCACCAATAGCATAGGTCTGCTGATCTGTGTCCCAACAGGGGTAACCCCCAGTGAACTCATTTTCCTAAACAACTCCCTAATTTTACTGTCTATAGTTTCCAGCTAGACCCCAAAGTTCCAAGAAAGCAAGGATCATGTCTATTCAAATGTTTAAGGCTATGTCCCCAAGGCTGACACAGAAAGGCCATTGTGTCCATATTTGCCGATACATTTTTTCTTTTGCAGGACTTGTTCTGAAGGTTGTGGAGTTGGAAGGAAGAGCACGGCAGCTAGGCTCTTCTAAATCTTTTCAGTCCTTCCTCAAGATTCCAAACCAAACCTGCCATTCTCCTTAGCCAATGATCTCATTATCTGCTATACCATGAGGAGGATGCCATGTGAGCTCCCTTCTGCCCCCAAATTTCTCCGCTCCTCTTCTCTGCTCATTATATTTCACTTGAATTAATGTCCCCTTCCTTGCCAAAGCTAATAATTTTCTTGTCTTATTCCACTTTGGGCTCATACTCTTGTACCTGAGCCCCCTCCTCTCCATCGGTTTAGTCCCCTGGATCAACACTCCTGTTGCCACCAGCCATGTCTGTATCTGAGAGCTGATAACATGGTAGACACACGGCCAAGTGGAGGGGCTCATTGTTGGAATGATTCTACTGTTCTTCTGCCTTTTGTATATAGTGTAAAACCTTGAAATTAAGTACTTCAAGTGAAGGAATTTGCTAGAATCTTGATGGTAAGTAGGTGACTCAGGATGTCAAAATCCATAGTCTATACAACTCAGACAAATTTCAGGCAGAATCCAGACTTCCGTGCTCCTCTGCTAGAACCTACTCGCGAGGTCCAAGCGTACCTGTGTGTCAGTCTGACATATAGGAGGCTACCGGTCTCTGAGCTGGCTTGATGAAGTTTCCCCTAAAGGGGCATCATGAATGGAAACAAAGGAACCTGAAGAGACCCTCCTTCCTAAGCAGTGCCTGGGCTGGTGCATGAAGAATGAGTCTCTGGATTCCAAGTGGTGCCCTACATGAAGTTATGCAAGGGCCCCAGGTCTCTGTGAGCCCCTCTCCACCCACATGGCTGCTGAGACCCCCTAAGACGAGATTATTGCCCCCATGCTCTTCTGCCCTTATACCCTTTCTTTGACTGGCAAATGGAGAGCATCCAGTGAACACAATGTCCCTTTGGGGAGCATTCCTTGGTCCATGGCTAACTCTGAACACATACCATGGGCCAAGATCTGTTCTAAGCATTTTATACAGACTAACTCCCCAGTCTCGTGAAGTGAGTATGTTCTTATCTGCACTTTATAAATAAACAACCAAGCACAGAGAGCTTTCACCATTTGCTTGGGATCCCAACACAACACTGGTAGTGGGATTTTTGAATTCGGGAATCTGGCTTGACCTTGTGCACTTCACCACTATGCTTTACGTGAATGAATAGAAACAAATAGGAATGAATGGGAAATTACCACTGGAAGGGGGGGATGCTTGGCTGTCTCAGTTGAAAGAACCTTTGACTCTTGATCTTGGGATTGTGAGTTCAAGCCCCACAATAGGCATAGAAATTACTAAATAAATAAACAAATAAAAAGAAAAGTAGCAGTGGATAATAACACAAATGCTTACTATAAGACTAGATATCTAAATAGTTGTGACAGAAATTAATTAGTTATAATAATAAATAATAAATTAATTTAATTAACAATAAATAAATAAAAATATATAATTATATAATAATAAAATATATAATTATATAATAAAAATAATAACAATAAATAAATTAATAATAAATAAATAATAATTAGAAATAAATTAGTCTATGCATCATCAAGAATATGTAGGAATAAAACTGATATCCCACTTCCACTGAGCTCATGTATCAGGAATGAATAAACCCGACGAAGGAAACGATGGAGCTCTCTAGTATCACGGAGTGAGCCGTGCAGACAAAGGGGCAGGTGAGTAATACTCCCTCGAGTTCGTGAGCTATGGACAAAGAGAAATTATGTAAGTTAAATGTCGCCCCATTTCTGTGATACGAACTCCCTTGGTAAGGTAACATTGGGTCATCGGCTGCTTTGGATGAATGGATTCTTTATCCTTTCTTCTCAAAGAGGAAACCAGGGTAGCTCAGCTCTGTCATCTTGACCTTCTGTCTTTCCACTGACGCATTGGGAGCTTGTGCCGGAGAAGTAAAAGACCCTGGAAACAAATTTTAAATATTCCCATCTTTCGCCACATGAAGATCCTTAGTAAGGATTCCTCTCTCATCTCCCTCCATATGCCCCAACCCAGCATCTATGAAAGAGAGAACTCTTGGATGGCTATGCTACATGGTCTGATTTTCTCTGATACGGAAGAGTTACACTCAGCTTGCCTTTGACTGAGCAGCTGCAAGATATGGAGGAGCCGGCCACATCACATAGCCTCTGAGACACCCCCTCCACGCCACCTTCCCCTCCACCACCAACCCCACACAGCCCCCTCCCCACACCTTGCTCTTGGTCACATAGTTCTAGCACCTGGAAACAAATTGGAGGTAGATGGCACTCAGCCATCTTTTTTCCAATGTGAGGATCCTTAGTCATGTCTTTGTTGGTCTGTCCACCCACAAATGGGGGGCCAGTAAGGGAAGGGTGAGCACGGAAGAGGAGTGATGAACTATAAATAGAAGAAAGGGAAGGTGGACAGTATCAGTTTCGTCAGCACCGCAGACACCCAAAATGACACTTGTTATGTGTTCTGTGAATAGAGATTTTTAACCTGGGTTCTCCAGACAGGCTTCAGGCCTCTGTGAGCTCAATGAACTAGATGCGATGTTTCAGGCTACCGTATTTATCTGAGAAGGTGATCTATTGCTTTTATCTTTTTTTTTTTTTTTTGGAGTCA